GCCGCCGTACAGGCAGACGGCTTGATCCGGCGATGCGCAAACGCGCTGGTCTCCGCGATACGTTCGCGACACGCGGTAGTGAATGACCGCTGTTCTCTTCTGAAGGGCGAGCCCTCGGCGCGAGCGTACTTTTACGCGGCGCACGTATCGCGGCTACGGAGATCTATGGCGTAGTTAACGACCCTTCGGAATGCGTGAACACGCGTGAACACGCATGAACATTCTCTGCAGTCTAGGACCTACGACGACGACGATAGTACGCGACTCGAAACAACGCAGCAATACGATACTAAATTACAGCACAGCAATACGATACAAAATTCGGACACGACTCTACGATGCAAGATTACAATGCGACAAGACGGCACAACTTTACAACGCGTCGCACAGTGGGGACGGAAGTAATGTATTGAAACGAATTAACTTCCAGACCGCAATTTACTACCGATTTGCATAAAATTTGGTGGACATCATCTTAATGCAATTACAAATCGATCTGTCGAGGCCGAATTTTGAAAAAAAATTTCTCTTTTAAAAAAATTGAGTTTTTTCGAAAATAACAATCGTGAAGCGAACGAATGAATTTAAAAGTATTACGGATTACATTTTTTCGATCTAATGTCACAATAAAACATAATATGGGAGATTTTTGAATCGGTTTCTCCTCGCCGAATTCTCAAAAAATTTATTTTTTCAAAAAAATCCATCTTTTTTTGAAAATAACAATCGCGAAAAGGAAGAAATAATTTCAAAGCATTACAGATTGTATTTTTTTCACGTAATGTCACTAAAAAACAAAGCACAACGGATTACATTTTTTGGATCTAATGTCATAAAAAAACATAATGCGATGGATTTTGTAATTGATCTCTCAAATCATTTCACGTACTTTATTTACAAATATTTGTATAATCAAATGAGACACTATTAAATTTGAAAATTGAGATCAATTTTCCAAAAATCTACTCATCATTTCAGCAGTAACGGAATTTACTTGTATTGATTGAAAATAAAAAGTTATGGACTTTTTCGGAATGTGGACCGTTGAACAATTTATGGGTTAAAACAATTGACATGCTGATTGAGACGCCCATAATAATTATCAAAACGTTGCAATATAAAAAATTGCAGCGACATATTTCAAATGTTCATTGTTTATTTGGAATTGTTGTTTATTAGAACAGCAACAGCTACAAAAGCGAGAAGAAAGAGATGGAAAATTGAATTATGTTATCCAGAATCGGCATTACAGGTGATATTTTGACACATGAAATAACTTCGGCTCACGTTGACACATTTCAAGTAGTCAAATTATTGTTTACTTTCTCGCAAGCATTGTGTGTTTTCCGTTAGTATATAAAAAGTAGGTGCCGAACGCTATGTATGCATATAATATTTTGATTCGCTGTCTTTTGAAGGTTGCTGCAAATTTGTGAGATTCACAATTACTGTATTCTTCATACGATTGTAATAAAGTTTCGCGTACCGCAATGGCGGAGTTGAAAATAATTAACAGAGAATTATTTGATGTGTGGGTAAAATTACCAGAAGAAAATAAGTCTTCTGATATGCTTTTGAATTATATTACTGAAAAATATGATTTAAATGATGATCAAATTGCATTAGCAAAATTAAAACTGAACAGGTATGTTATACCGAAAATTCGCAAAGATTTAAAAAATGTTTTTTACAATGTAGAGAAATTTCGTAGCATATATTCGGAATGGATAGAAGGTTACTTGGTTATTCCCGCAAGGAGAGCAATGAAAACCCCCAAACATTTTGAAGATTGTTCAATTACGACCAAAAAAAGACGTATATCCAACGCATTAAAGACAGTGCCAGATAAGAAATTAGTTATTAATTACCTAAATCGATCGCGTGACATTGATCAACTGGATGAGTGCAACGAAGAGATGCAGAGCACTGGCATCGACAATACTACATTTTTATTCTCGGATTACGAATCTCTAGGACTGTTGTTAGATGCAAAGTTGTCCAAGAGAGTCTCAGTATGAGGTTATTCGATCGAAATCAAACCAGAAAGAAGTTGACATGTATCCCCCCTACAAGCATGTAACTATTGCGAAAGAGACGTGCTATCCTGTACCGTGGTCTTTAGAAATTACCGAAAAAAGTGTAGTAATTACATTACAAGATCTACTCAACCATACGAGCGAAAGAATAATAAAAATTTTATTAAAAACTTCCTTAAGTTTATCTGAAGAGGAAAAAAGTTCGCTCTCGTTGACGTTAAAATATGGCTGCGATGGCACTTCGGGTTTGAGTCGGTATAAACAAAATTTTGATAATTTTGAAGATAGCGATGAGAGCATATTTATTATGTCCATTGTTCCACTTGTTCTTGAAGTTACTTCGCCACTTCGCTAAATACCTCTAAAGTTATTTGGAAAAATGATCGTGCTTCTTCTACAAGACATTGCCGGCCAATTAGATTTTATTTCGAAAAAGAGAGTCATGAAAAAATTAAACAAAGAGTCAACGAACTGAATGAAGAGATTCGTAGCCTGACAGAAAGTACTTTTATTATTGGCGACGATACTTATGCAGTAAAACATAAAATGCTGTGTACCATGGTAGACGGCAAAGTTTGTCAGGCGCTGACTTCAACATCGTCCGCAAGCGTTTGCATCATTTGTAAAGCAACGCCTTCAGAAATGAATGATTTGGAAGCTATTAAACAAAAAGAAATAAAAACAGATGGTTTCAAGTATGGCTTACAAACCTTACACGCCTGGATAAGGTTCATGGAGTGCATTCTCCATATAGCGTATAGATTGCCTTTTAAGAAATGGAGTGCAAAAGGGAACAACAAAGTATTACTCGCTGAAAGGAAGAAACAAATTCAGACGGACATACGAAAAGAGTTGGGCTTATTAGTAGATACAGTAAAACAAGGTAGTGGTTCAACGAATGACGGCAATACAAGTAGAAAATTTTTTAAAAATTACGAGGCTGTAGCTAAAATAACAGGCGTCAATGAGGAGCTTGTTAAAAGGCTGTACATTATTTTGCAAGTGCTTGCAGGTAGTCAACAAATAAACGTGCAGTCATTTAAAGAATTTGCCTACGAAACAGCCCAATTATATATTAAAGAATATAGTTGGTATTACATGCCGGCAGCCATGCATAAAATTTTGATTCATGGTGCTGAAATTATAGATTCGTTTCCATTACCTATAGGAATGCTTTCAGAGGAACCGCAAGAGTCCAACAATAAAGAGATGAAAGCGTGTCGTGAATATAGGACCCGAAAATGTTCCACAATTTTGACAAATTTGGATATGATCCATTATCTCCTTATTTCATCTGATCCCTACATTTCACTTTTCAGAAAGAAAACTCCAAAAAAGTGCGTTACTTTACTGCCCGAAGCCAGAGCCATGTTATGTGAATGATTTTACAATAAAAAGTTCTAAAAATTGAAAAAAAAGAATAAAATTAAAGAAAAATATAAAAAAAGAAATAAAAAAAGATCCTAAAAATAAAAAAATAAATAAAATTAATGAAAAATAAAAAAAAATACTAAACATAAAAAAAAATGGAGTGCAAAATCCTGCATCAGCCTCCTCGTGGCGCATTCTGGGGTTGTTGAATTTTAAATATTCAACTAGCTAATGGTGTAGGTTGACAATAATTTGACTACTTGAAATGTGTCAACGTGAGCCGAAGTTATTTCATGTGTCAAAATATCACCTGTAATGCCGATTCTGGATAACATAATTCAATTTTCCATCTCTTTCTTCTCGCTTTTGTAGCTGTTGCTGTTCTAATAAACAACAATTCCAAATAAACAATGAACATTTGAAATATGTCGCTGCAATTTTTTATATTGCAACGTTTTGATAATTATTATGGGCGTCTCAATCAGCATGTCAAATGTTTTAACCCATAAATTGTTCAACAAACG